TTTTCTTGACTTTCTTGACATGGTGGTGGTGGCCCTTCCTGCTTTCCTCGGTATTTTCTTTGACTGTGGGTATATCTGCGTTCATACGCAGGCCACGAAGTGCAGGTGCATTCGGCGCACTCTTTGCTGCAATGAAAGCACCTACCGCCATGATTGTCGCGAAGGTAGCGGCAGGTTTCATGGGGAATTTGAAGACGGTGGTGGTGGTGGAAGGCTGGTTTGTTGTTTGCAAATTGGTGAATGGACTCAGTGTTGTGAGTTGTAATGTTGCACCGGAGACTTCCCCGTCACGACACTTCAATTTGCTGAAGATGCTCGAAGTGGGAGGTAAAGTGATAGCTAGAAATGACAGCTTAGACATGATGGAGAAGCGGTAACACTTTTGACCAAGTGATTGAGAGTGAGATATTTGCTACATTAAACGCGACTCTGACAACGTATGAAGGCCATAGCATCTGTACCAAGAAGAAGTACCTGAAAATAGTCGCGACAAATGTAATAATGGATCGCTTTTGAAGGACTGCTAGCATGTTTCAATTGCTCATCGAAGATAGAATTTTCCGAGGTTGTATATGACTCGTCACTTACGTGTTTGTCGTTTGTTCTTACTCCTTCATGATTTCGCATAGCATTGTGGTATGTGGCACGCGGTGCAGAACGCTGGTTCCGTAAATAAGGTTGCTGCTACCGCGTAGATTTTGGTACAACGCATTCTTCTGCTACTGCAATAACATGTTATACTGTAAAGTAACCTCACAGATATGGTGTGCAGTTGTATTCGAGAGATGAACATTACAATTTGCTATCTACATGACCAACACAACAAACAAACAGCAGTTGAAGCTGGATTGTACCTCTCACTCATCAACGACGACGCTGACGCTCGCGACGATTAAAACCTCCACTACCAAACGCATTGCCACCAGCCGGTGCGGCACCTCCAAACCCAGGCTGGCCACCGGTGAATCCGTTGTTGCCAGTCGGACCGAAGTTCCCCCTTGCACCCTGCCCACCAATTCCACCAAACGCGTTCCCACCTTGCGCGCCGAATCGCGTCTGTTGCCCGAAGCCGCCCGCACCATTCCCATTGAAGCCGTTCACACCATTTCCGTTGAAGCCGCCCATGCCAGCACCAGCTCCACCAAACATACCACCACCGAAACCAGGCATCTGATTGCCACCACCGAAGCCGCCACCGATGGTGCCCGTAGGATTTCCACCAAACCCGCCGGTGTTTGTAGGGAATCCGCCAGAAGCACCTGAGGCACCCAGTCCAGCTCCAACTGGGTTGTTGGCATTTCCGAAGCTTGCTGTCGATGGGACCCCGGCTATGCCTGCGTCACCAGACTGAGGAATGGCTGCGGCAGCTCCTGGCTGTTGTGCTGGAGATGGATCTGCACTGGAAACGTTCGTTGGTGCCGGCGTGGCCCTTGATCCTCGGGTTACCGTAGGTGCAGGGGTTGCCACTGGACGTCCATTTGCAGTCGTCGGAGCTGGCGTGACAGCTGCAGATCCCAGTGCCACGTTAGTCCCTGCGGCAACGACATTGTTCGAAGCGGCATTGGTAGAGGCGACATTGGTAGAAGCGACATTGGTAGAGGCGACATTGGTGGTGGAGTCAACGACGGCAGTGTTGGAGCCAGCTACCACTGTGGACGGGATGCTGACGGGAACAGGAATGAAATGCGGCACCTCCACAGGCACGGGAATAGCGATTTTCTTGACTTTCTTGACTTTCTTGACATGGTGGTGGTGGCCCTTCCTGCTTTCCTCGGTATTTTCTTTGACTGTGGGTATATCTGCGTTCATACGCAGGCCACGAAGTGCAGGTGCATTCGGCGCACTCTCTGCTGCAATGAAAGCACCTACCGCCATGATTGTCGCGAAGGTAGCGGCAGGTTTCATGGGGAATTTGAAGACGGGGTGGTGGTGGAAGGCTGGTTTGTTGTTTGCAAATTGGTGAATGGACTCAGTGTTGTGAGTTGTAATGTTGCACCGGAGACTTCCCCGTCACGACACTTCAATTTGCTGAAGATGCTCGAAGTGGGAGGTAAAGTGATAGCTAGAAATGACAGCTTAGACATGATGGAGAAGCGGTAACACTTTTGACCAAGTGATTGAGAGTGAGATATTTGCTACATTAAACGCGACTCTGACAACGTATGAAGGCCAAAGCATCTGTACCAAGAAGAAGTACCTGAAAATAGTCGCGACAAATGTAATAATGGATCGCTTTTGAAGGACTGCTAGCATGTTTCAATTGCTCATCGAAGATAGAATTTTCCGAGGTTGTATATGACTCGTCACTTACGTGTTTGTCGTTTGTTCTTACTCCCTTCATGATTTCGCATAGCATTGTGGTATGTGGCACGCGGTGCAGAACGCTGGTTCCGTAAATAAGGTTGCTGCTACCGCGTAGATTTTGGTACAACGCATTCTTCTGCTACTGCAATAACATGTTATACTGTAAAGTAACCTCACAGATATGGTGTGCAGTTGTATTCGAGAGATGAACATTACAATTTGCTATCTACATGACCAACACAACAAACAAACAGCAGTTGAAGCTGGATTGTACCTCTCACTCATCAACGACGACGCTGACGCTCGCGACGATTAAAACCTCCACTACCAAACGCATTGCCACCAGCCGGTGCGGCACCTCCAAACCCAGGCTGGCCACCGGTGAATCCGTTGTTGCCAGTCGGACCGAAGTTCCCCCTTGCACCCTGCCCACCAATTCCACCAAACGCGTTCCCACCTTGCGCGCCGAATCGCGTCTGTTGCCCGAAGCCGCCCGCACCATTCCCATTGAAGCCGTTCACACCATTTCCGTTGAAGCCGCCCATGCCAGCACCAGCTCCACCAAACATACCACCACCGAAACCAGGCATCTGATTGCCACCACCGAAGCCGCCACCGATGGTGCCCGTAGGATTTCCACCAAACCCGCCGGTGTTTGTAGGGAATCCGCCAGAAGCACCTGAGGCACCCAGTCCAGCTCCAACTGGGTTGTTGGCATTTCCGAAGCTTGCTGTCGATGGGACCCCGGCTATGCCTGCGTCACCAGACTGAGGAATGGCTGCGGCAGCTCCTGGCTGTTGTGCTGGAGATGGATCTGCACTGGAAACGTTCGTTGGTGCCGGCGTGGCCCTTGATCCTCGGGTTACCGTAGGTGCAGGGGTTGCCACTGGACGTCCATTTGCAGTCGTCGGAGCTGGCGTGACAGCTGCAGATCCCAGTGCCACGTTAGTCCCTGCGGCAACGACATTGTTCGAAGCGGCATTGGTAGAGGCGACATTGGTAGAAGCGACATTGGTAGAGGCGACATTGGTGGTGGAGTCAACGACGGCAGTGTTGGAGCCAGCTACCACTGTGGACGGGATGCTGACGGGAACAGGAATGAAATGCGGCACCTCCACAGGCACGGGAATAGCGATTTTCTTGACTTTCTTGACTTTCTTGACATGGTGGTGGTGGCCCTTCCTGCTTTCCTCGGTATTTTCTTTGACTGTGGGTATATCTGCGTTCATACGCAGGCCACGAAGTGCAGGTGCATTCGGCGCACCTTCTGCTGCAATGAAAGCACCTACCGCCATGATTGTCGCGAAGGTAGCGGCAGGTTTCATGGGGAATTTGAAGACGGTGGTGGTGGTGGAAGGCTGGTTTGTTGTTTGCAAATTGGTGAATGGACTCAGTGTTGTGAGTTGTAATGTTGCACCGGAGACTTCCCCGTCACGACACTTCAATTTGCTGAAGATGCTCGAAGTGGGAGGTAAAGTGATAGCTAGAAATGACAGCTTAGACATGATGGAGAAGCGGTAACACTTTTGACCAAGTGATTGAGAGTGAGATATTTGCTACATTAAACGCGACTCTGACAACGTATGAAGGCCAAAGCATCTGTACCAAGAAGAAGTACCTGAAAATAGTCGCGACAAATGTAATAATGGATCGCTTTTGAAGGACTGCTAGCATGTTTCAATTGCTCATCGAAGATAGAATTTTCCGAGGTTGTATATGACTCGTCACTTACGTGTTTGTCGTTTGTTCTTACTCCTTCATGATTTCGCATAGCATTGTGGTATGTGGCACGCGGTGCAGAACGCTGGTTCCGTAAATAAGGTTGCTGCTACCGCGTAGATTTTGGTACAACGCATTCTTCTGCTACTGCAATAACATGTTATACTGTAAAGTAACCTCACAGATATGGTGTGCAGTTGTATTCGAGAGATGAACATTACAATTTGCTATCTACATGACCAACACAACAAACAAACAGCAGTTGAAGCTGGATTGTACCTCTCACTCATCAACGACGACGCTGACGCTCGCGACGATTAAAACCTCCACTACCAAACGCATTGCCACCAGCCGGTGCGGCACCTCCAAACCCAGGCTGGCCACCGGTGAATCCGTTGTTGCCAGTCGGACCGAAGTTCCCCCTTGCACCCTGCCCACCAATTCCACCAAACGCGTTCCCACCTTGCGCGCCGAATCGCGTCTGTTGCCCGAAGCCGCCCGCACCATTCCCATTGAAGCCGTTCACACCATTTCCGTTGAAGCCGCCCATGCCAGCACCAGCTCCACCAAACATACCACCACCGAAACCAGGCATCTGATTGCCACCACCGAAGCCGCCACCGATGGTGCCCGTAGGATTTCCACCAAACCCGCCGGTGTTTGTAGGGAATCCGCCAGAAGCACCTGAGGCACCCAGTCCAGCTCCAACTGGGTTGTTGGCATTTCCGAAGCTTGCTGTCGATGGGACCCCGGCTATGCCTGCGTCACCAGACTGAGGAATGGCTGCGGCAGCTCCTGGCTGTTGTGCTGGAGATGGATCTGCACTGGAAACGTTCGTTGGTGCCGGCGTGGCCCTTGATCCTCGGGTTACCGTAGGTGCAGGGGTTGCCACTGGACGTCCATTTGCAGTCGTCGGAGCTGGCGTGACAGCTGCAGATCCCAGTGCCACGTTAGTCCCTGCGGCAACGACATTGTTCGAAGCGGCATTGGTAGAGGCGACATTGGTAGAAGCGACATTGGTAGAGGCGACATTGGTGGTGGAGTCAACGACGGCAGTGTTGGAGCCAGCTACCACTGTGGACGGGATGCTGACGGGAACAGGAATGAAATGCGGCACCTCCACAGGCACGGGAATAGCGATTTTCTTGACTTTCTTGACTTTCTTGACATGGTGGTGGTGGCCCTTCCTGCTTTCCTCGGTATTTTCTTTGACTGTGGGTATATCTGCGTTCATACGCAGGCCACGAAGTGCAGGTGCATTCGGCGCACTCTCTGCTGCAATGAAAGCACCTACCGCCATGATTGTCGCGAAGGTAGCGGCAGGTTTCATGGGGAATTTGAAGACGGTGGTGGT